AACCCACTCGCACTTTGAAAAGCAAACAAACATTTTGAAAACACAATGAACAAGTATCTAAGAGCCCATGGATAACCATGGATAGAAAGGGTGCTAACACCTTCCCTTTCTATAAATTTACCTCCCGAACCGAGAAACTATCTCATAAGGAATTTTGCTGTGCTTTTGTCCTGTCCATGTTGGAGAAAATAAAAGACGGTGGCGACTCTTGCTTCCGTGACATTTCACGAACCAGCGTTAAACAGTCAGTTCCAGATCCACCGATCACACCTACGTATCCCTTTTAAGGAATCAGAGCAGCCGTAGTTCGGCTTATATATTTTGGTTGGTTTGTGTTTTTTAGTTAAAACAACAAAAACAGTCAAGATGGCAAAACATCGAATGAAACAACAAACAAATGAGATGATCAAACATCGACTAAATAATAACAAAGTAACATGTCAAAGATGGCAAAACATCAATAAAACGGATTACAAAACATCACACCTAATGTTGTACCCCAAAATTTTCCCTCTCATATCTCTCAAAACATTTCAAGAAAAATCTCCAAGTGGATCAAGATTGCTCAAGAGTTGGACAGACAAGTCATCTCCTAAGGCAGTCAACCTCAAATTAGGGTTTTGTGTTGCATCAAGATCATTGAATCCAAATGACCTTAAGTGCTCCCCAATGTCCTAATATGATTTCAAGATCATCCATTCCAAATTTCAAGCCTTGCAGAGGAAGTTTGCTCAGTCAAATACACAAAAGGTCCAAAAACCGACTTTGCTAGGGCAAAAGTCAACTGTGACCTATAAACAGTCAAACCTCAATATTTTTTGTCAACATTCTCATTTTTAAGGATATTTCATCAATTGATCAAGGGTTGATCATGATTCATCAAGGATTGCTCAAAACTCATCAAGACTCAAAAGTTGCTAAATTAGGGTTTTGCAGGAAAAGTCAACTCAACTTTGACCAAGCATAACTTTCTCATACTTTATGAGAAATGACCCATCCAAATCTCATTTTGAAGAGGATGCGATTTCCTACAATCCATCTTCATACCCAAAGATTAAAAAATCCACTCACAAGAACTTACAAATTTTGACATTAGGTCATTTTTGAAAGTCAACAAAAACACCTTTTTTTCCAAAGCTTATAACTTGAGAATGTAATATCAAAATGAGATGAGACCAAACGTGTTGGTTATAGGACATCCCAAGCTTTCTAAAAAGTCCAAGAACACTTCCAAAAGTTCAAAATTGAAGAAGTTATGCATTGTTGAAGTTGGGTATTTTTGCAAAATTGCCAAAAGTCAACTATCCTCAAAACTTCAAATTTTGTCAAATGGGCCCATTCTTTTCCACTTGATTTGGACTTTCCACATTACACACGTGTCCTAGCTTCAGCCTTGTGTCCATTTATCAAATTTTCTATTTTATTTGATTTTTTATTGAATTATTTCATTTTAAATCAATTTAAATCAAATAAAATCCCAAAACTTGATTACATGAGATCTTTTTCTATTTTCAGGACCTAATCATCATCAATGTCATGATCAAATTCGTATCAATCATTCCATGTGCAAAAAGATTAGATTTTTGGCAAATTAAGCAAGTTTTCAATGGAGGATCAAATCCAATCTCAAAGCATTGATGTGCAAAGATTCAAGACCAATTTGTTGACCTAATACATTACAGCATACATATACAATCCAAGGCACATGAATTTGAGACCTAGAGGCTGCAAGAACATCAAGAACCAAACTTGAAAAAAGGTGAAAAAAGTGCAAAACTGAAATCATCCTTAGAGGCGTTTACAAAGGCAAAACTCAACACCAATCAATTGCTGGGTGCCTACTCAACCTCCTGCAATCAAAAGAAAGCTCTCACACCCTCTCAAACGCACTGTAAGCATCACGTTTCTTGGTCCTGAATTCTAAATCGCAACTCTCTATTTTCGTATCATTTTGACAAATCATGGATACATTTTTGATGCTTATGAAATTTCTGAACTTTTGGCATTGTTTGATTGCATTTATATTGATTGTAACCCTATAACTGAACCTAGGGTTTTGTAGTTTGTTTTTTGGGCATTTCTTTTACAGGCAAAATTAGCTCCATTGATGGACATGGACGTGACCAGGGGAGATAGACGAGCACAACCATAGTCTTGGATTTGATTTTCATGGCCTAGAACTAATTTTAGGGTGGACATACGAATTTAGCTGCGGATATAAATCCGCAGGTAAATGTACAGGGTTGAAGGAAGAAGACGACAAACGTGTCTCCCCCTGGTTGGTTGGTTCAAATACTTGGCGCGTTTTTTTTTAATTCTGGCATATTAACATGTTTTCCAATATTATGTTTTATTCTTAATACATTAACAAATGAAGCGCGTTGGCCTAGTGGAAAGAGGAGTTGGCAGTCACGTACAGGACCTGGGTTTGAATCCCAGGTCCCCCCATATGCTTTGTATTTTTTCTCTTCAGGTGATCCAGTGATGATCCAATTGCGTGGTACATCATGCTCCCTCACTCAAATGCTTGCCAGATGGCCTCAGGCCAGATCTGGTGGTCCAGATGGGATGTCCACCATGCTCCCTAGTCAGATGCACACGCTGGAATCAGGAAAGTCAACCAGACTTGCACAATTGGGCCATGGATATTGCCATTCTCACCCCCCTAATCAGGCCCAAACCCTAACTCTTTCTCTTTTATTATTTATTTCTTCTAATTATTTATTGTTATTATATTTAATTATTAACCAACCAATCAAATCTTTTTTCTTCATAAAATTAAAAAAAAAACCAAAATTTTTTTTCTTTATTAAAATTAAATTTCAGCATTTTATTTTTGTTAACAATATTAATTTAATTAATTTAGTTTTAATTAGGAATAACTTTAATATCTATTTTGCAATAATTAAAATTAACTTAGACAATTAAGTTTTTATTAACATTGAATAAATTTATTTTTATTTCCTTAAACATCAAAAATCCAAAAAAAAATATTATTTTCATTAATTAGTTAATTAGTTTATTAATTTAATAAATTAATTTAGTTTAGTTTCTTTCTTAATTCAAAAATAACAAAAAAAGATACTTTCTTTCAAAAAGGGTCAAAACCCTAAAAACCCGCATTCGATTTAATTTCCCGCACGCGTTCCATTTTATTCAATATTGTATCTGTTTCCGGGAATGTAATAGTTTAATAGTGTTGCACCCCAAAATTTGCCCTCCTAATTTCCTTTATTTTTGGCTTAAACTTTTGCATTCATCTGCATCTTTTTCATTAGGTCACTAACATGGCATACATTTCATTCAATATAGCTCCGAGCATCAAAGTTCAGTGGTTGTGCGATACTAGGGTTTCATAGTGGTTAAGGCGCTCGTATCCAATAAAGGATGATTTCTTATTCATGCAGCAAGCTTTGGAATTAGGTTTTTTTAGGCTCATTTTTGGACTTCTTCTCCACCAAGTTACTGGGCTAATATCTTTTGATGAACAACTGGGTGTAGGTCATTTTGGTCAAGAACTCTAGGACGTGACCTAGCATATGTGGGCTTCGAATCATGACATCCTTTCCTATAAGTATGCTTGTCATTTGATTAGGGTTAATGACTGTGACATGACAATCGTCTACTCCTCAGTTAATCAAATTAGGTTTTGTTGAATCATGGTTCAAAGATGTTTTATCCGGATATTTCTCTGTGCGTCTGAACGAGGAATCAAGATTGTGAGGATTTCACATCAAGGGAATTCTTCTGTGATTCAGAATTTATCATCCGTCTGTAAGATGTTCCTTATGACACTAATCTCAAGTTGAAATAATCGATCGCTAAGGGCTGAGGACTGTATTGTGAAGCATGGTTCATGACCTAAGATATGAATTCATAGATTTCTCCTTAACCAAGGCCATCATTGCCTTCATCATTGTCATTTGTTATCTGTGATGTGAGTAGGTTTGGATTGAAGTAGGTTTACCATAGAAGAGTTCATGCAAGGTAATTCAAGGTTCAAGGCATTCAAGGCAAGGTTGTGAAATTTTTAGGATCAAGATCTTATTGACTATTCAAATTATTTGTCATTCAAGTTGATTTGGGTTCAAGATTGAAGTTAGGAGTTCATTGAGAATGCAGGTGTGATTTGGATTTGAAGTTTGATTTGAGTTCAAGATGTTCGAAAGTGTTTGATTGGATTGAAGTCGGCAAAGAGTCTTAAGTATTGTTCATATGGCTTTCTTGGAAGGTAAAGTGCAGACTGCGAGGTTTTGTTTCAAGTCAGAGTTCATACGCATTACAAAGATGTTCACCGTTATTTCAGATTCAAGTTCACAATGCGTTTAGACATTTATTCAAGAAAATACTATCCAATTCCATTCAATTTCATTCTCATTCAATTATTCAAGAAAATACTATCCAATTCCATTCAACTTCATTCAAGTGTAACAATACCTTACAAGAAAATTTGATGCTTTCATGTCTTCAAGCATTTTTTCAAGACTTTGTCATTTAAACCCCGTCCTTAAAATTCATCACCCAACATTTCAAGCTCAAAGGTCATTTACAATTCACACTATAAATTTCAAGTTCATCCAAACCAAACATTCATTACAATCCCATTACACCAATATTCTACAAAAAAAGAACTGTTACAAAATACACTTGAACAAAATTCTTTAGTCCTAAAGGTGCTAAAATTCCATGAGTAAACTTCTAATTCCATGCCATGCCAAAGTTCTTCGTCTTCAGTTCATGACCTGCACATTCATACAAAAAAATAATCCAAGTCAATACAAGCAATCATGCCAAAATATCCTATGCTCATACAAATTATTCGACACATGAAAAACCATTAATTAACCCAAACCAAATGCTAAACACATATATGGAAACAACCCAAAATGAAGTTTTACTAATTATGATTCCCGATCTATCTACTACTCTCACTTTCACTCCCTTTTTTCTGGTTGAGTCTTTTCAACAAACACCTTCTTCCCCATCTCTCCGAGGCTACCATGTTCCAGAGGTTCATTTTGGAATTTTCATCTCGACAAACGTTTAGAAGAAACCCCAGACATTTTGTTCATCAGAAGATACCTTCTCATCTATCTTCGCGAAAGGAATTCTCAAATGCATCTAGACCATCTTTGCAAAAGGAATTCTCAAATGCATCGAGACCAGCTGGTGCCTCAGCTCCTGGTTCTACAGGAAAGCCGCCTGAGTCTCATGGTTCTCGATCAAAGTTTTAATTGGAAGTACTGCTATAAGTGCTGCTCTTTTGGCTTCTTATCAATTTGGTTTCTTAGATAAATATCTTGAGAAGGAGAAGCTTAGTGACCCTCAGGAAGTTCTGATAGACGATGCCATTGGAGATTTGAAGAGTGGACAACTTACAAAAGAGGAGTTAGTTTCACCCAGTCGTGAAAAGTCTGACAATGAAAATCCTGCTGTAGAGCATGCAGAGCAGAAGGTTGATACCAGTCTTTCTCAGCCAGAAATTATAATAGAAGAATTCGATCATGATGATGAAACACAAGACCAAGAAGCTCAACGAGAAGGATTATTCTCCATGGGCGGAGATCAGAAAACATTTAATACAACAGTTATGGCTAATCAGAATATAAACACTACCTTTCAAAGAAAGAAAGTTGAGAATATTATTGAAGTTACTGAAAAGCAATCTGGTTTGACAGTAAGCCGACATCGTCAGATTTCACACCATCAGTCTCACAAAGTGACAAATCAGACAGTTATTGAGATTAAGGATCAAATTATCAGAGCCAGAGCATACTTGGGATTGTCTCCACCAAGCAGCACCTCACACTTGGTGAAGGAGTTGAAGCTGAGAATTAGAGAGATGGAACGTGTTGTTGGAGAAGCTACCAAAGATTCAGATCTTTCAAGGAGTGCTTTGCAGAAAATGAGACGCATGGAGGGTTCACTGTCTAAAGACAACCGTGCTTTCCCGGACTGCGCTGCTATGGCTGCTAAGCTCCGTGCGATGAATGATAATGCTGAAGAACAAGTTCGTTCTCATCAACACGAAGTAACCCATCTTGTTTATCTTGCTGCTAGGACCACCCCTAAAGGCTTTCACTATCTTTCTATGCAACTAACTGCTGATTACTTTTCCCTGAGACCTGATGATAGAAAGCTGCCAAATGAAAATAAGATTCATGATCTGGAACTTTATCATTATGCTGTCTTCTCTGACAATGTTCTGGCATGTGGAGTGGTTGTTAACTCAACTGTGTCTAATTCCAAGGAACAGGAAAAACTGGTTTTTCACATAGTTACCAACTCACTCAACTTTCCTTCAATCTCAATGTGGTTCTTATTAAACCCTCCTGGGAAAGCTGCCGTCCACATACAGAACATAGACAATTTTGATTGGTTGTCCAAGTACAATACATTCAAGAAACAAAATGCCAGAGATCTGAGATATACTTCTGAATTGAACTACCTCCGTTTCTACCTGGAAGATATCTTCCCCACTCTAAATAAGATTTTGCTCTTTGATCATGATGTGGTGGTGCAACAAGATCTCAGCACGCTATGGAATATTAACATGAATGAAAAAGTAATAGCAGGAGTTGGGACTTACCAGGAAGGTGAAACTTCATTTCGCAGGATGGATATGTTCATAAACTTCTCAAATCCATACATTGCAAAGAGGTGATGTCAATGCTTGTACATGGGCGTTCGGGATGAACTTGTTTGATTTGCAGCAGTGGAGGAGGCATAATTTAACTGGTGTCTATCACAATTATTTGCAAAAGGGTTCCAACATGCGATTGTTTAGCACGGGCAGTCTGCCAATAGGCTGGCTCACCTTCTATAACAAATTTATGGTTTTGGACAGACGGTGGCACATTCTTGGCCTTGGTTATGACTCGGACATTGACACAAATAAGATTGAACAGGCTGTTGTTATACACTTTGATGGAATTAGGAAGTCATGGATGGACATTGGTTTGGCAAGATACAAGAGTTATTGGTCCAAATTTATCAATTTTGACCTCCCTCTTTTGCAACGTTGCAATATCCAGGCGTAGCCAACATCTAAAATGATTCTACCAGGAAGGTGTTGATTGACTAGTTTGCTACTGGCACATTTATGGACCTGCTTCAGTCGATTCTTTCTTGTTCTTGGAAATTCTTCTTGTAAAGCCCTAACTGTCCAGCAGAAAAATAACTAAACAGTATCCTAGCTACTCTCCATTCCAAAACTAACACATAACCTCCCCTCTAACAGATTTTTCAGCTTATCTCTTAACTACCATAACACAACTTCCTCTAACAGCCTAACTCCTCTAACTCCAACCAATTCATAACAAACTCTCAAACCTTCTAACCACTTGTAACTGCATACCAAACTGCATCCTAACTTCCTAACAGAATTAACTAACCACATAACCAACTCATGGCTTATAAATAACAAAACTTCCAACATATAGAGGGGATCAAAAATAGAAAAGGGGGGGGGGGGGGGGGGGGGGGCAGAGGGGATTTTCAGTTTGGAGATCTATGCTTTATTTCACAAACACAGGAAAACACAAAAGAGGATAGATCAAGAACTCACCAGAATCTTCATCCACATTCATCCACGCATCAGTTCACCATCACAATTACCATCCTCATCTCAATCCTCCAAATTCTCTGAACTCCCTTTCTGCAATCTTCAACTTCCATAACCCAATCTTCATCATAATTTCTGCAATCTTTAAACTTCATCCATCATTTACAACAAGCCTCTTCTGCAGCTCATAACCATCATCATCTTCATTGTCTCAATCCCATATATGCAACCGTTTGGATGCGCCAATCTTCTGCATCTCCAAGTTGCTGCATCATATTCAACAAAAATCCACAACAACAACAACAATCTTCATTGACTTCGAAACGCAGCACATCAATCAACACCAAATGCAGTATCGAACGTGAAGAAGAAGAATGAGTGAGCAAACATGGTTTGAAGCAAGAAGCTGAGACGGCGCGGCGGAGATCATCGGAAAAGGAATTGGAGAAGACGAGGAAGCGAAGGCGGAAGACGCTTCGGTAAACCCCTTTTACTCACTCTTGCGATTTCCTTTTTGTTAAATCAGGAACGAATTTGAATCGCTAAGAGATGAGAAGAGAACAAGCATTGAGGTGGTGCGATGAAGGCTTGGCCATGGTAGAGAGGAAGGTGAACGCCGTCGTGGAAGAAGAGAACAACCACATCTTCAACCCTAAATTCCCTTTTTTTTTTATTCAGTTCCTTTTTTTTCTTTTTTTTTTTACTTTCTTTTTATTTATGTTTTAATTATTTTAATTCAGATAAATATAATTATAAATATAATAATATGATGATTAATAAAATGGGCCAAACTAATCAATTCTTGGACTATGATTATTTTTTCTTGCTGATTGTGTCTATTTTTGATGGGGCCTAATGTCATTGCATTTTTTGCAGCACATAGTGAGTTCGGTTCGTACATCCTGAGATTTTATTTCCAATACTCATTTCGATTGCGATTAATTTTGGAAATTTATTTTCTTTGGCAATATTGGTAAATAAAAGAGATTTCTTTTCAATTCTCTCACTTTTTTCTTCTCAGTTTTAATCATTAGTTTTACTCATTTTTATGTCATGTGTTTCGCTTGCAATTTTTATGGATTGTATGCAATATTTTGATACTTGATGCCTAATTTTACTTGTTCGTGTATTATTTCATGATTCCTTAGGAGATTTTGGTTCAAATTTAATCTTCGATTTAATTGAACTAAAATTAGACGTTAGGCTTTCAAATTCATACATACTAACATCAGGTAGAAATTTCCCTTTTAACATAAACCTTATGTCTAACCATGCACGATAACATTAGATCTAGAAATAGGCTAGTCTTCCTGTGACTTTCGTCTTCCTGTGACTTTCGTCTTCCTGTGACCTTCGTCTTCCTGTGACCTTCGTCTTCCTGTGACTTCGTCTTCCTGTGACTTTCGTCTTCCTGTGACTTCGTCTTCCTGTGACTTTTGTCTTCCTGTGACTTTCTTTCCTCCTTTGCATATGCAGTCAAAATAAAAAACTTTTTTTTACAAACTTCAAAAATACATAAAAATTTACTGACAAAAACCATGTCTTGGCTAAGTTTGAGAGATGATGAGCGGGTTTCTTCTCGACATTATTATTCTCTTGTTCTAAGCTTTGGTATGATTCAAGTCTCAAAGACTCATTTCATGAATAAGTAGAGAAATGGCTAAAATCTCTCTCTTGAGGTTAACTAGCTATTATCTACAAGCAAAAACACCAACAAACATAAAAATATTTTTTCCCTTGGGCCTTTCTTTCAAATCCTTTTCAAAAGAGCGTATTAATTCACTTCTGTGCTGACGCGTAAATCTCCAAAGGTCGAGTTGCGGCAGAAGGCGAAATTAATACTGTTTAGTAAAAAAATACAAACAAAACAAAAACATATAAGCCGAACTACGGCTGCTCTGATTCCTTAATACGGATACGTAGGCATTAGGGTAGGGCCCAGGCGAGCACAATTTTATTTTCCCTACATTCTTTTCCCTTTTCTTTTGCATGCATTCCTTTCAGTAGTATAGTAGACAGTAAGCATAGATTAAACACACCCATAAGATAGACAACAAGAGTGGATACCGTAGAGTACTACGGGCGTGTGGGGTGCTAATACCTTCCCCTCGCGTAACAGACTCCCTTACCCGATCTCTTGGTCGTTCGACCTTGATTTCATCCTCATCAGGTTTTCTCGATGTTTACCTTTCCCTACATGTGGGATAAAAGACGTTCGATGGCGACTTCATTGTTTGATGATTTTCAGCCGGTTGTTTCAGCTGGCGACTTCACTGGGGAAAGGTCGACCAAATGCTGGTCCATCCCGGAGTCGCTCCTAGCTCTTGCTTTCTTTTCTTTGGGTGTCTATTTTATGCTTTCAGTTTACTCATTTGTACATGTTTTCCTAAGCATAAGTTTGTATTGCATTTTATTGCTTTCCCTATTTGTTATCTATTATGCTGGACTCTGTTTTCCATGTTGGGTGGGGATGTTACTATTGAGGTAAAAGGCCCAGTACCCAGGCCAGAGTGCACTAGTACACCTAGGAATACAGTGGGGGCATGACGGCTATAGGACATGGTCCGATTAGTGCAGTCATGTCATATACCACGCTCGGATGAGGTTCAATTGAAAGTACTTTCATCATGCACGTCTATGTTGCGATGATTTTACTTTCAGGCGGACCCGTGATTTTTGAGTTACCATTATCTCACCCTGACCTAGTCTTCACACGTGAGTGGGGAGGGATTTATCATTACAGGTACAGTTGGTGACTATGTTCAAATGGTTACTCGTGCTCAGTTGGTGACTATGTTCTGATAATGACTGGTGTTCTGTTGGTGACTATATGGGTCTCAGATTCATTTTTTTCTCTCTGGATTCGGTATTCAGGATGGTTATCTAGTTATGTTCCGGACCTTTGATCCTGATATATTTTACTTGGTCAGAGATTATACAACGGTTAATCATTGTACTTGGTTCCATTGTATGCTGAATTTGGTTCTGAACCTTTGATCCTGTGATATCCATATTATTCAGCAGATTTATACAGCAGTTATCCAGAGGATTGTACAATTGTTATGCTGAACTTTTGAACTTATGTCATTGCACCTTGCATCATAACATGTTTATTTTACACAAAAAAGGAAATGTGAAATATTATATGCAAAAAAAAAAATGTTTGAACATGGCATTGCATCCGCTCATTCACCTCATGCATCCATAGCAGGTACTCTGAAGGTACTCAGAATGGGGAATCCTTATTCAGACTCGGTATTTTCTTTTCAGAGCTGTAAATCTTGACTTCTCGTCGCTTCGTGGTCAGATTCAAGATATGGAACAACTTCGTGGGGAATTAGACGAGATGAAAGAACATATGGGATTCGTGGTACTAGACATGCAGGATTTGGTCCGTGGACAAGAACTCCTGAAAGAAGAGAACACTCAGTTGAAGACTCAATTGAATTTGGTAATGGAAATTTTGGGGACAATGTTGAAGAAAGAAGATGTTTCTATGCCTGCCACAATAGGAGTTACCATTCCTCCTCATAATCTGAGGACTCTTGTAGGTCAAGGAGTATCTCCTCCGCAACCGTGCATTCCAGGATCCTCCCATCCGCAACAAGTTGTCACTTCCCGAGAGGACCCAAAAGGCAAAGTCCATCAGCAGAGGCCAAAACAGCCTGAACGAAAATTTGATCTTATTCCAATGTTGTATGCACAATTGCTTCCTCCCCTGCTAGAATTACATTTGGTTAAACTCCAAATTTTCACTACACATGAAAAACGCCCTCATGGCTTTGACGACAATGCTAAGTGCGATTTTCATTCTAGGACACCTGGTCATGATACTGAAGATTGTGTAGCTTTTAAGCATCAAGTCCAGGACTTGCTTGATGCAGGGACAATTCTCTTCACTCCCGAAGGTCTAAGTGTGCAAATCAATCTTATGCCAACCACTACAAAGAATAGGGCTACGCCTTCTCCTCTTCAAAGTTCTATCTCACGATCGGAGTCACGTCATCCACAACCTATAATCCTGGAAAGTTCTCACCAGAAGTCGTTTGTAAGTTGCGGAAATCGGTTGGTTAATCAAAACCAGAATGTTCCTCGTGTTCACTTGGCTCAGTGTGCTACTCGGCAACAAACCTATCAACAAAGACATACGCAACAAGGTAAGCAAAAGGATAAGAAGCCTAAGAGGGTGTTCGACATTGTTCCTTTGACTTATGGCCAGCTGCTCTCTCAGTTACTCAAGCTTTCCTTGGTGGAACCCAAGCCACTAAAGCCTGTCATTCCTCCTTGTTCTATGGATTCCAATCCTAATGTGCAGTGTGATTACCATGCTGGGGCACTAGGTCATTCCATTGAAGACTGGTGGGCTTTCAAAGAAAATGTGCAAGACCTGCTTGATGCAAAGGCTATCAATTTCGGGCCGGTCAGTTGAATTTGAGGTCCCCTTCGACTCAGTAAATGTCAAGATTACCAGATCAT